ATACATTCCATTGCTTTTGACAAAGATTCCAAGCAATTCTGTGGAAAAAGAAAGTCTTGTTAACAAATGATGCTGGAGGTACTGGGTATAGATCTGGGGGCGGGGGAAAGAAACTTGATCCCTGTCTTCCATCATACCCTAAAATTAATATGATCACGGGGTATTAGAGCCTGATCCACAGAGGAGGGTGGTGTGGCACACAATATCAGACCTGGGCTGGGTGGCAAGGGCTTTCATACTGGGGACTGTATTGGTGTAGGGTATCGGAGCTTGAACCTTGCACTGACCTTCAGTCTGCTGCCCTCCCTGGATCCTAACCCTGGAGCAGGCTCTCAACCCACTCTTTCTGCTTTCACATATGTGTACGTAAACCCTAATGCAGATTGATGATGTCTAATTGTTAGGTCTAGATTGTAGGGCAGTCTGTTTCTTGTTCTTGGTCGTTTTTATCTTGAATTGCTTCAATATATTCACCAAACCTTCTCTCCTCTCAGTACCCATTTCTTTCACTTACAAAATGAATTTACCTTTGCCTTCAGCAAGAAAATTGAAAGTGAAGCATGTCCTTCCTCCTCCCTCGCTCTCTCAACCCCACCACCCTGAGCCAGTCAGCCAGCTAGCAAAAAGCTACAGTTATTGATCCAACTGGTTTCTTGAAATATCTTCCCAAATGTTTCGTAGGCACCTCAAGCTACATTTAATTTCTCCCACCCTTCCCAAAGCTTCTCAGTATTGCTTATCCACCCAAAATTCTGCCAATCATCCTCAACTCCTTTTTCTCCCTCACTTTTGACATTCAAGCACTCATCATTTTCTGCCAATTTTAAATCCTAAATGTGTTTTAAAAGCCATCTCCTTACCATGTCTACTACTGCTTCTCTATTTCAGACCCTCATCGTCTCATCAGAGCTGTTCCAGCACCTTCTGACTCATGAGCTTCTTGCAGTCTGTTCTCTACATAGTGCCAGAGTAATTTTTTATAAATTTGGGATGGAGCGTGTCGTTTTTCCCTGTAGAGCCCTTCAATGACTCTGACTTGCCTATAAAATGGAGTTTCAAGCCCTTTGACCTGGGAAACCAAACCTTCATTCCTAACGATCTGACACTCCCTAATCGGCTGTGTTTCACCTTCCTCTTCCCCCCACCCAAACCCCACACTTCACACTGTAGCAAAACCAAACTGTTTAACTTGTCTAAGATATATGAACTTTTACTAGTTGATATATTTGCTAATTCTGTTTTTTCCTCCCATCCTTTATTCTTCCTTATCTTCTGCTTAATCGCTAAGATTTAGTTTAAATGCCTCAGAATTTCCCTTTAGTTATGCAGCTAGAACTAGTGCCCCTGTCTGTGTTCCCATAACAACTTGTACATTCCTAAATTACAGTTTTTATCAGATTTTAAATGATCTGTTTCCACCCTGTCTCTAACTTTAAAATCACTTTGAGGACTGGAGCTAGATCTTTGAATGCCTGTGTTTGTATACCCAGTACCTAGCATATATCAAGTACTCAGTAAATGTTTGTTTCCATGTTTGCCAACACCAGCCCCATAGAGTATTATCCTGACATCGAGCATTGTCCCCAATAGATGCTGGTGAAAAATAAATGGTTGATTGATCTAATAATTTATTGAACAGGAATAAGGAAACAGAAATTGAGACAACTGAAGTTTTTCATGTGAGTGGCAGAGAAAATGGTGATTGCATTAAATGAGAATGGAAACAGATGGAGGAACTAGTTTCAAGATAAAGATTATGCGTTGCTTGAACATGAATTGGTTCGGGAAGTACGACAAGCCATCCCTTGGCAGCTTTCCCGCAGATACCTGACCAGGTCAGCAGTCGTGGACAGCAGTGTGGGCTGGACAGACCTGTTCAGAAATCTTGGTTGAGGGTACCAGGGCGTGGCAAGGATCACTGAGAAAGTGCTAAGGAGAAAAAGAAGGAGGACAAGGACAGAATCCTCAGGAAAGGCTGCCGTTTCAGGAGAGGAAGTAGAAGAGTTCCCAGTAAAAGAATCAGAGTAGAAGTCTCTTAAAACTATTAAAACTATCAAGATAATACAAATATTATGAAAACAATCAAGATAATATGTATATTATGAAGTCCAGGGGAAAAAAGTTCTAAGAAAGGAACCCATTGTTGAGAAGTAGTCTAGTAACAATACTGTTGAAAAAGAAAAGGCCCACTAGATTTGTCCTTTAAAATATCGCTTTACTAGGTATGTATGTTAAAATTAATTACTGTTTCTAGAAGTCCGGCAAAGAAGGGAAGGAGAGAAGAGACGGTAATATAAAAGTGATGGTGAAACTTTTTGTTTTTTTACAAAAGTACATGCCTATTGAAAGAAATTGAAACATTCAGAAGTATATAAATTAAATTATAAAAGTCATCCATTTTATTTCTACTTCTCTGGTTTGGCATTTATCTGTTCAAAACTTTTAAAAAATTTTCTATATTTTTGTTTCTACAAAAATAAGACCCCAGTATACATTCTTTTATTACAAATTGCTTTTTTTTTTTACTTTCTAGTATATCATGAACTTTCTCCACAATATATATAGAACTATGTATAGAGAACTACATACCTTATATTTTAAAAGGCTAAACAGCATTTCTTATGATGAGTGTATCATAGTTTATTTTCTTACTCTCCTGTTGAAAATATTTGCCTTTAGTTTTTCACTATTACAAATAATACTGCTACGACCATCCTTTAAAAAACATGCACATACTGTTGTTTAGGTGATTTTATGGGATAATGTCTTAAAACAAGAATTATTAGGAGGGCAGATACATTTTTATTTTATTTTATTTGTGTCGACCTGTCATCCACAGAAGGGCAGTAGCCAGTCAGCAGCTCCTTCAGTGCACTGAAACACTGGTGTGCACACCCTCACCGACACTGAGTGTTATGCTCCCCACTTAAGAAAAGAGGTTTTGGTTTTAGGTTTAGTTTTGATTTTTAATGGAAAGTTTGATCTTGTTTGTAGTCCTAGGAAGGAATCCAGCTGAGAAGAGGAGGAGTCTATAAGTATTAAGAAAAGGAGATGATTGACAGGCCATAGTCACAGAGGGCATGGGTCAAAATGGTATCAACAATATGAATAAAAGGTATAATTTTCTTCAGAGATATTAAGAGAAGAATAGTAGATGGATAAAGATAGAAATAAATGCAAATAAAAGAACAGATTTTTATGCAGTCATCTGTATTTCAAGGAAATTAGAAACTAAGTTCCTTGTTGAGATAGAGGATTACCAGGATGGGGTTTGGGATAGTAAAGGAGCAGGAAGCAATCAGAGCTACAATTGATCAGACAGAATTGGCTGGTGTTGTGAGCTCAGCTGAGCGGAGAATGAATGAATTTGGGGGAGGCCAGTAGTCGTGGTCACATCATCAAGCAGACCTGTAGTTGTTGGGTTGCCTGGGTTTGGGGCTTTGGGGTTGCAGTTGACTTATCTTACATTCATAGTGAGGTCGTTTTATTCTCCTGTTTTCCCGGACCGTGAATGGACGTGGTATGAGCTAAGATACACATCCATTAGTTGTTCCTCATGGGAGAGTGATCCCTGGGTTCTGGTTTAAAAAAAAAATTAAAGAATATAAATGTAATAATACATTGCATTATTCCCATATAAAGCCATATTTCATGAAGCCATGTAATTTCTTTTCTTTTATTAATAAATTACAATGTGAACCAATATTACTAAACATTCTGATCGATAGAAGGCCGGCGGCTTTGATGGGTTTATGTGATTTGACTTCTGGCCCCAGGACCCTTGAGAATAGTAGTGGACCCAGTAATACTCTGTCAGTTCTTTCTTGTCTAGAGATGATCTCTGCTGCTGGGGAGTGTAAGCACCTTAACTTTTAGGATCTTACTTACTGAGTAAAAGTCTTTTTTTTTTTTTTCACTTTAATTTTCACTTTGCTTATGGAAAAACAGAAGAAAAAACCAAAGTATTATGGGTCTGTGGTGAACTTAAGTTACAAGGAAAGGCTGGTAGTATAATAAGGGATGTATATATATATACACACATCATCAGATCATTACTCTCCAAAAAGTAAAATGTTGTAAGAGGAAATATGCTAAGGTGGGGGCACAATTTATTAGAAAAACATATGCACAAGTGTTTATTTTTATTAAAATTCTTTTTATTTCATATTTACCTTGTTTGCTTTATAATGAAATTATATGAGGACAGAGATAAATTCTTTTACATCATGCACTGTTATACTACCTTCTTTCATACTCTGGGTACATAAGAAATACTATAACAATTGAAAATGAGAAACACAAATGCACTTTGAGGCAAATTGGTAATATTTTAATTCCTAATATTCATTTTTAGTATTTGGAAACATTGTAGTTATGCAGGCCTTGCTTTAGCATACTTTTTTCTTCTACAGACATTCTGGTTCTTAGTCATAATCTGTAGCTTTACTAGTAGTTTTATGGGCCTGAGTCTCATTTCCCCAACTCCAAACATAGGCTTTGGAGGATAAAGACCATTTCTTCTCCCACGTTATTGTGGTAGGACACAAAGGAGACCTTCAGTATGTCCTGGCCACATGTCCCAGTTGGCTGGAGCGTTGTTCCATGCACCAAAAGGTTGCCAGTCCGATTCCGGTCAGGGCGCATGCCTAGAGTGCAAGTTCAATTCCTGGTTGGGTGCCTACAGGAAACAACCCATCAATACTCCTCTCTCACATCAAGTATGTGTGTGTGTGTGTGTGTGTCTCTCTCTCTCTCTCTCCCCCCCTCCCCCCTCCATTTCCTCCCTCCCTCCTTCTCTAAAATCAATGGAAATGTGTCCTGGGGTAAGGGTTTAAAAAAATAGATCTTCAATAAATTATTTAAATTATTCCTAAAAAAAAGAAAAAGAAAGTTTTTACTACCACGAGTTGTATTTCAACTCATGCTGAGTTTATATGCCTTTGTGTGATCTGTATCCATTCTGTGCTCTCTGCAGCTCATTCGTATTTATTTTTTTTCAGTTTGTTGAAATCAACAGGTGATGGTTGGCTGCTTGGAACATCATCATCCATCAAAAAGTACCAAGAGTTCACCACCAGTGGAGAGACTAGAAAAGAGAAGAAGACCGTTGGGTTTCAGTCACATACGGAAGATGATGCCCTGCGCTCATGTTCAAAGGAAGATACGTATCGACCCCAAAGAGGTAAGCTTGGCATCTCTGTAGCAAAATGAGAACCTGTTGGAGGAGGTGGTTGCTGGTGTCTGCTAGCCATGAACTCCAGGTGACTTCCTGCAACCCTGAGCAAGAGTTAAATATGTTACAAACTGACACGTGCCTGCAAGGCCACAGGTAGCACGTCTAGACCAGTGAATTATATCAGTGTTTCTCTGAGAATACTCATATGAGAAACTATCCAACTTGTCCCTCTTTTTGCAAGCAACAAACTGTAAGAATTATTCAGTAGTAAGTATCTTCATAGACACAAAGTAATGTTCAAAGTGAGTAAAGAGGACAAGAAAATGAACATAAATCTCTGCTAAGAAAGTAAACTCTAACAACCACAGTTCATCTTCAATTTGCTGGAAGTATGGGGAGGGTGGAGGAGAGGTCATGGATAAATTCTACATTGTGGCTGAAACAAAACCTCATAAGTTTTAAGTATATATTGCCTAGTAGTCTTTTAAGTACCAGTAATTCTTCCTGTTTTATATGTCATGGATATTTTTTAAAATCAGTTATAAATAATGGTGTAAAATGTTGAGTGAATCAGTTAAATTTAATTCTGAGTTGTTTCTGGAGTGCCTTTGGCTTAATCTGTCCTGGAATTATTAAGGGAAAGAGTCTGGAACAGAACGGAACAGGTCTGAGCTTCTGTGCGGAAGAGAGCTACAGGGAACAAAGGGCCGAAAAGGGCCTCAGAGCACCCTCTGCTCACAGCTCCCTTCCGGACATTTGTCTCTTCTGCTCACAGCCATTCACACTGCTTTCCTTCGACTTACCTCTTTTCCAACTGGTAGCACCAGCCCATCTCTAGGATTCAGCAACCGACCTCTCCCTGGCCACTGGCACTCTCCTACTGGACACACATGCAGTGCTTTATGAGAAGGTCTTACCGGTGTAGCACCTCGGCCTTTCCTCCTCATCAGCCAGCATTGTCCTGTTTTGTTTTGTTTTTGGTTTTTGTCTTTTGTTTTGTTTTGTTTTAATTACGATCAACCTCTAAGTTGTTTAATCCTCTCCCAGATAATTGAGAGATGATTATTAGTCCCAACTTCACAAGGGAGTCTATCCATAATTTGAAACAAAAGCAAAAGCTTCTTCTGTTTGGCACAGGGGAGAAGTTCAGCAGACCTCCACTGCGTTAGGACACTTAGAAACAGCAATGACATTCAGCGGGCTCGGCCTCCCAGGTGGACTCTTCTTTGCTCCCTCTGTTGGCAGTCCGTCAGGAAGGGGCAGCTCCTGCCTTGGCTTCCGCTCCTCTTCAGTCATTGCACTTTCAGGAGTGGAGAGTCCGTCAAAGTCGGCGTGGCAGTTGCACCGCAGGGCTTAACGTAGTCTTCTCTTAACTTGTCACCCAGTTTGTGTTGTGTGTCAGCACTAAAATAAAATGGCAAAAATAGAAAACCAGAGTGTAATAGCAAAAGGACAAATAGTTTGTGTGAGTGGTTCAGACCACGGCCCCTCAGAAAGCTACAGCTGGAAAGGCACTGTGAGAAAGGTGTCGTCCAGCCAGCCCTTGCCTTGGTGGACGTTAATCTCTCTCAGGCCCAGCTACAGAAGCCGGACGCCGGGAGAGGGCTTGTGTCAAAAAAAAAAATCAATTTCTAATTTGAAACAAAATCATTTTGACTAACAGGGGTTCAGAACCCATTACTTTTTGCTGTGTAGTCTGCTGACATTTCGGCACTTTCTGTTGTGCACAATGAATCCTAATAGTCATTTTATAATGTTGCTATACCAATCAATTTAACCAAGAGAAAGCTGTTAGAGTTCTGCAAAGTTTTCAGGAACAGTTTTCACTCAGGGTTTTATTTTTTTTATTAGTTTTTTTTTCTTCCTCTTTTTTTGGGGAGGAGTTATAGTGTCGCAGTGAAAACTAGAAACTTGTTCATCTTTACAAAAGTTCTCTCTTAAGGCATTGTAACTCACAGGAATCACTAACTTTTATTTGTAAGAAAGGCTATCTTGTATTTTCTCTTTTATTCTAATATGGAGCATTAGCAAAATTACAGCGTACCTGATGATTGACAGAGGGCCCCTTCGAGTCATCCTGCCCACCGCAGAGCTGGCACACACGGACTCCAGTACCGGCAAAGTCACTGCAGTGGCATTCGCTGCGGCGCCCCACCAGGCGGGAGGCAGGCTCTCCAAGCTGTGCTGCAGAGGGGTGGCCACCTGTTTATCGTAAGACCGGTGACCTAACACTAATTGCCTAAGTTGTACTGCTTGGTTTTTCCTCTCCTTAATTGTGTTCCCCTCTTCAGTGTATCTGAATTTTTTAATACACTTTTCTTCTGTTTTCTGTCCGTTGTTTCTTTTCTTATCCTTTAATTATTAAGTACTATGCAGGACATTTACTGCAAAACCATTAATCTTTATTATTAGTCTCTTTCTCCTTTACCTCTCCTGTCCCCCTCACCGTTCTGTCAACTTTATACATACTAAACATGTAAAAAAAAAAAAAAAAAAAAGGACCTGACTCTTATCTCAAGAAACAACCTTGTGATCACAAAAATATGTGTAGTATTGTCAGGGTTACACTTAAGGTACAGATTGTTTTTTCACTCAACAATGTTAGGGTTGTATTCAGTTGGTTTTATTGTACTATGTGCAAAAAAGGAGACATTAGTTAAGGAAATCTAAACTTGGGTCAAGAACTTCTAAGCCAAAAGCACAAATCTGGAGAAAAGATTTCTCTTCCTTCCTACACAGCGGTGTTTTCATTCTCTCCCAGCTGGTCTCAAACCTTCTCTTTCTGGGCAATCACTGATTCCCTTTCAAAGGAGCCCGAGAAGCTGAGGGCATTTTTTTCCTCGTATGCTCGCCTGCTAGTGGAGGCTGCGAGCCCGCTGAGCACACAAGTTCCAGAACTGAAATGCCAGGCTTCGGGGCTCGTCGCTGTCTGCCCCTGCCTCTGTCACCCTGAAGCCTGCTCCCTCGTTTAGAGCCACCTCCTCTTCGTCCCTCTTTCATTGATCTCTGAGTCTCCTTAAACTTTGAGCAAGGCTGAACCTGGAGTAATTTCAATTTAGCTGATGGCATTGACCATGCCTTTCATTTTTGTCTCTGCGTGTTTTTTAGGTTATGTAATATACAGCGGCCGTCACTGATCGAAGCTCCCAGAGGGGCTTCTAAACACATTCTTTTATTTAACTGGAAGAGGATTATTGTAGACTTATCCAAAGGGAGGGATGATTTCTGGAGCTCCTAGTTGTTGGTCCAAGTGAACATGTGCTTGCTGTAACAAGTGCTCTTTGTAGCCCCTGATGGGTTGAAAGGCGACATGACTGAAGAAGTAAACCAGTTGGAGTATCCTAAGTGCAGAAATCGTTTCCATCTTGCCTCTTAAGGAGCACTCGTTTAGGTTTATTTTATTAGTAGCATCATCATCATGATTGTGTTTCATCATGAGTTTCATCTGTTGTACCACAGAATATTACTTCTGACTCCCAGAAGGCTGAGCTGAAAGATCCATTAAAAATCAATGCCTTTATGAGTAGAACACAGGAGACAAGCAGAGTATAGGGCTATGAATAAATCCAGGCATGTAACTTAAATTGTCCTGCCTTGTCCACTCAAAAAAGGAATTCAAATGCAAGAGGCTAGCGTTGAGTATTGAAGTCACTATATATGGAATTTTGTCACTTAAACCAGAGCCTCTACATTTTGTATCTTCCATAATAACAAGAACTATCTCAAAACACTATATAACTTACTGAGTTATTATTTATACTTTATATTTCTTCAACTAAAATATAAGCACCCCACATGCCCACTATTGTATCCCCATTTCCTAGACCATCACTTAATATGTGGTAGATGCTCATCGTATTTGTTGAATGAGTTAAAGTAACAATATGGTCATTGACTGTTCTCTCTGTGTCCTTGTCCTATTTTCCCACAGAAAGAATCTGATCAGTTAGACCTTTTGACCTCAGTACTGGCAATGACTTAGTGATGTAAGAAGAGTACATGCGTGTCCGTTCAAAGTCCTTATGGTGATTGATTGGCAATGTCAAAGAGATAACAGTAGAGTCTTAAAAATAGTTCTGCCTTGAAAGTCAAGAAAACTGTGGGGTTTTTTCCATTTTCTTTTATACTAATTGTATTTAATTTATATGCAATAAAATTGCAAGTGCATTAAGTGTCCAGTGTGAGAAACTTTGACAGTGTATGTATCTACATAAATACCCCTAATTAAGATGTAGTACATTCCCTTTTTTTTGTGACAGTTCCCTTGGGTTTCCTTCTGGAGATTCTCCCATGAGGTCTCTCTCCTTTGTTTGCAGACAACTGTCTGCCCCTTGTGTCCTCATGAGGCCTTTTCGCTGTGGGCAGCCTCCCTGGTGCATCTCCCTCTCCATACGAGGACATCAGTCATACTGGATTAGGACCCATCCAAATGACCTCGTTTGATCTTAATTACCTCTGTGAAGGCCCTCTCTACAAATACATTCTGGGGTATACTGGGAGTTAGAACTTCAACATGAATTTGGCAAGGGGAGAGGACATAATTCAGTCTATAACAACTGCTTTTTTTTTTTACCTTTATGCCTTTTATTTTTTCTTATCTCATTATACTGTCTAGGACTTTCATTACAATGTGGAATAAAATGGTAAAAGTGGACTTTATGCCTTGTTCCTGATTTCATAGTTCCCTATGATGCTCTTCTACCATTACGTATGATTTTAATTATAGGGTTTTTCATTGGTGCTATCTATCATGTTATAAAAGTTCCCACCTTGTTTGCTGAGAGTTGTTATTATAGTGGGCATAAAATTTTATCAGAACTTTTTCTGTATCCGTTGAGATGGTCAGAGCGGGTAAGGAACAAATACCCTGTATCCCAGCAATTTCTTTCTAGGTATATATACTAGAGAGAATCTCATACACACAATGATTAAATTACAAATATGTCCATAGCTGTATATTCAGTTAGGGTAGGCTAAACTTTGGTAACAAGTAGACAGAAAAAAATCAATAGCTTCAAGAACAAGAAGTTTCTTTCTTTGTTTTGCAATGGTCCAGGGTAAGTTTAGTTGGACAGCAGCTCTGCTCCAAAGAATGATGGCTCTGCCATCTTTTTGTGCCTTCCAAGGTCACCTTCATCACTGCAGTGTCACCTTCATCAGTGCAGTGACACAGACAGGAGTGGCAAACTTGGTCCATGGCCACATCTGGCCCACTGCTTGCTTTGCAAATAAGTTTCATTGGAACACAGCCATTTTCATTTTTTTACATGTTGTCTGTGGCTGCTTTCGTGATACAGCTGCACAGTTGAACAGTTGCAGCAGGACCTGGATGGCTCACAAAGCCTACTATATTTACCACCGACCCTGTACAGGAAACTCATGGTTGGTCCTGCCAGAGCAGGTCAGCAAGGAGAGGGAGGGAATGGAAGAGCACACTGGGAGGTTTTTATAGGACAGTCCAGTCCTGAAGTGTCACATGTAACGTCCACCAGTTTTCCTTCTGACCACACATCATTACAAAGGGGATTGGAAACTACAGTCTAGCTGTGTACCCAGGAAGAGGGGGAGAGAGTGCATTTCAGTGGATAACTGGCATCCTCTGCCACAGCGGCAGCCTTCTTAATAGCCCAAACCAGAACCACTCCAGATGTCTGTCAGCAGTGGAATGGATGCATAAAAAGAATGCTATCTAGCAAAGAAAACAAACTGCAGCATTGTAAATCATCGACATAGATAAATCTCATAAATACAATGTTGAGTGAAAGACATCTTAAAGGGAACATATATATGTGTGTATACATAGTATATTCTATTTTATAACGTTCAGAAGCGACAAAACTGCATCGCATTGTGGGGGTGCATATCTAAACAGTAAAACTGAAGAACAAAAAGGGACTGCTATGAGGACAGTGGCTGGCTTCGGGGTCTCGGAGGGGAGAAGCGGCGGTGCTGAGGGTGGACGTTGGTGACGCGCGGGGGGCAGTGCTGCCAGGACCCTTTCTTGATTGGAGAGGGGTCGCGCTGGTGTGTTCCTCATCGGTCTTTAAACGGAACTGGATGTGTGACACAGCCTGGCTGTTTCTAAATGGCAAAACGTAACGAAGGGCCCAGAAGCAGAGCTGTCATGAACACTGCACTCTGAGAAGTCATCTTCCAAGATTTTGACTGATGGATGGGCAGACACATACCCAGCCGTGTGCAGATAGGACGTGATCCATTATGTTCCACCCCGTCTGTGCATGCAGAAATGCGTGTTTATTTACATAGCTGTATTCACATGTATTCAACTATATATAAACATATACTCTTGTAGATGAAATTTAACAACCTAATGGATGATATTCCTACCAATGCTTTTATTTTTGAAATGTGTACATTGTCTTTGTGTGTGCATATGTAAATGTAGAAAGATGTGTAGTTCTGTGACTATACTGTATGTAACTGCTGGCATAGTAAACATTACATCAAATTTTATAGGATGAATATAATTAAAAGCTGATATAATGTAGCTTTCTAGAAACTCAATGAACAGAGCTTAGAAAATTAGAAACAGGAGTAAACTTGCTGTAAGGCATGGTGTTCCCACATCCCTGAAGCACCGTCAGGATCTGCGTCCACTGACGTCGGTCCCTGCCTTAGAGCATCACTCGTCACTTCTCTGGGGTCCTGTCACCTTTCCTCCTTCGGTGAAAGCTGCGGTCTCTTCGCCCAGAAAAGTGAATGAGCATGTATACACACAGTATTGCGCCTGCAGTTGGGAGGGGTTCACACGTTCCTGAAGCCCATGCAAGGATCCCATCAAAAGTCCTTGCACCCTCTGTTAAAATTTCTTCTTCCTGTTGTTCCCATCGGATGTCAATTGTCTCAACCAAATTTTGACATAAGCGTCAAAACGCACAAACTAAGACCAGTGTTCAGGCCTTATGTGATAGTGACTAAAAAAGATCTTGGTTCTGTCACTACCAGGCATCTCTTCCCTTCACCTCACCCATGAGCCCTGCTCAGCCGTTCCTGCTCTTGTTTGCCACTTAACCTCCCCGTCCACCCCAGGGTTCCACCCAGACAGTTGTAGTGCACGTGAACTGCTTCACCTGCCGCCTCCTCTCTGTTTCACTCTGCTCTAAATTCTGCCCGACAGTCATCTCTCTGAAGACCAGTTTGGTGAATTGTATTGTCATGGTTGCTGTTTTGTTTTGTCGTTGAGGCCAACTAGCATGGTGTTTAAGAGTTTGCAATGCAGACCTTGATTGTATTCAAAACCCAGCCTTGCTTACCAGCCCTGTGATATTGGACACGCTGCTTGACCTTTTCACACTTTCCACTTCCTCATCTATAAAGTGAGGACAGCAATTAATTTAACTACAAGGAGATAATGCATGTAAAGTGGTTTAAATTGATTAGCAAGGTACAAGTACATAATGATGCTCAATAAATATTTCCTGAATATACTAAATATTTAGCCTTGAGGTTTTTAAATTAATGCTTTTGCTAGTTCCAGGCTCCTTAATCCTTCCTATCAAAATTCCACCTCCTGCATTAAATCTTCCCTAATCCTATAGCCAGTGTGATCTCCTCAATTCTTAATTCCTCAGACTTTTCGTATCATTTAATGGCAGTAACTAGCATAGTGATGGAAACCCTGGGATCAGGTCGTCTGGACGTGGGTGCTGGCTCCCTCACTGACTAGCTCTGTGACCTGGGCAGGTCATGTAGGTCCCTCATGCCTTATTGCCCTCTCTGTAAGTTAGATATAAAAATAGTATCTATCGCAAAGGGTTTTTATGAGAATAAATGTAACTAATTCTGGAAAGGCCGAGCTGTAGCAACAGAGCTAGAGGGGGACAGTAACAGACCAGTCAGGGAGAAGGGAACCACAAATGGGCGTAAGGGGAGTGTTTGGAGTGTGGAATACTATAAAACTGGGCTGTGAAAATACATAAGCAATGCCATGACAAACATTTTTAAACTGAATTGTGTCCATGCTTTCATAGCCAAACAGATTTGCTACTATTTATCAAACTGTACACCTAAGCTGCTTAAATTTTATAGTATTCAAAGTATACTTCAGTGAAACTTTTTTTTTAAAAAAAGAATACATGGTATATGGAAAAGACTTAGAATAGTATGAGGCACATACCAAGCATACTATATCTGTTATTATTACTTTATACTGCCTGAGGTCATTTATGATTTTTTTTAAGTTTTTTTTTGTTGTTATTCTGTTACAGTAGCTTGTTCAGAATATTCTCACACCTTCCTTCACCTCCTCCTAAACTAAACTTGAGCTTAATCCTGGTACCAGCCCTTGCCTCTCATTCGGGACTTGGTAAATATTTACTGACTGAAAACACTGTGTGGACTGATGAGTTTGTTTCTGGTATGAGAATGTACTGGTTTGGGTTGAGGGTCCCACAGGTTTGTGGATACAGAGAAGACAACCGTACTTTTAGATGGCTAGTGGTTACATCTACACATACCAGTGAGCAGTGAATATTGAGCACAGCTTTGGAACACCAGGGTTCATGGTGGTGGTTTGGGTGCTAATCTCTATAGACATTACTCTTGCTTTCTCTTGTTCTGATTTTCTGTGGCCACACCTAAACTGTGCCATTCCCGAAGGTAGCCCACTGTATTCTTGGCATGTTAGGGTCTGGTATTCCCTACACACCAAAGTTGTCTTTGTGCTATTTGAATATTCACCCTTTCCTCAAAGGAAGAGCAAATCTCCTAAAGTAACTTTTTTGAGTGGTCTGGATAACAGTCTCCCAGGAGCCAGGAGAAAATTGTGGATGAGATTCTCATAGTCTCCCAGGAAAAAGGCAGGGATGTGTTGTTTGTGTTGTTTGGAAAATAATATGAAGAAGGAGGAGGAGAAAATTGTTATTATTAGAAATACTAATAGATTCAAACAAAAATAACACATATTTATGTCCATGTCTTATTATTACTTAGCACTTCAGAAAAGAAATTATCAACTAACCATTGCTTGTTAGAAAGCAACAGAGGCCAGATCAGCCCTGGAGTGGGTAGTTGAGAACCTCTCCTAATAAAACACTTCTTTTAGCCCAATGTAGAGTTCTTTGAAAGAAACATTCAAGACTCATTTATGCCTTAAAATTTGGGGGGTTAGGATGGTTTAATTTGGGGACTTTGGAGATACAAAGTTCTGGGATTTTCTGTTGTTCAAAGAGGAGAATGATCTTTTGTTATGGCAGTTCAGGGGAATGAAATAAAGCAGTCTACCATCTTGGGCATCTTCACAGGAAACCCAAATCAGCAGGAATACGAGAGGGCATCAGGCTTTTAAAAAATCTGTAGTTGGTCTGTTATTGCACAAATGTACTTTTTTAAAACAAGATATTACAAATCTCTGATGTTTACAAAATCAAAACAACCTGCTGAGTTTTCCATCTGTCATCGTTTCATTTCAGGGAGAGGGGGAAATGCTTAATTTCAAAGCTTAGGGTTTCCTATAATCTCTAGTATATTACTCAGAATGGACTTTGTAATTTATTTTTATTGAATGCCCACATTACTTCCCTTATTGTTCATATAGGGACAATGACAGGAGTTAGGAAAGATGTGTCCACATCTCCCATGACAACAGAAAGCCACAAGGAGCCTGTAAGCACAACCCCATCGTCGTTCCGACACAGCACTTCCCGGTAAGCTCTAAGGATTCTTGAATTTAACATTTTCCACATAAGGATATTTTCAAACATTTTTTATTGATCTATGACTGACATAATATGCTATTAATTTCAGGTGTACATCATAGTAATTTGATATTTATATACATTACAAAATGATTCCCACAATAAATCTAGTTACCAACTGTTACCACAAAAATTATTACAATATTATTGACAGTATTCCATATCCTGTACAGTATATATTTATGATCTATTTAGATTATAACTGTAAATTTGTAATTCTTAATCCTCTTCACCTATTTCACCGGCCTTCCCTCAACCCCTCCCCTTTCTGGTAACCATTAGTTTGTGTTCTGCACCTATGAATTTGTTCTCCTTTATTCATTCCTGTTTTGGTTTTAGATTCCATATGTGTGTGTAAGGGAAATCATACAGTATTTGTTTATCTCTGTCTGACTTACTGCACTTAGCATAATACCCTTTAAGTCCATTCATGTTGTTGCAAATGGCAACATTTCATTCTTTTTTATAACTAAGCAATATTCTGTTATGTATATATACCATATCTTTGTGTGTGTATGTGTGTGTTTCCCAAGTTAATTTATTCAATCACTCTTATCTCCAGCATCTGGACAGAGCTCACAGCCATGTACTAGGGTTTCAAAGTTCAAAATATAAACCAAACAATAACAAGATTTCTTATTTTTATACCACATCTTCTTTATTCATTCCTCTATTAGTAGTTACCTCACTTGCATCCTTATCTTTGCTGTTGTAAATAATGCTGCAGTGAACATAGTGATGCATATATCTGTTCAAATCAGTGTTTTTGTTTTCTTATGATAAATGCCCAGAACTAGAATTGCTAGATCATATGGTAATTCTATTTTTAATTTTTTGAGAAACCTCCACTGTTTTCTATAATAACTGTACCAATTTACATTCCCACCAACAGTGCCTGAGGGTTCCCTTTTTTCCAAATTCTTCCTAACAATTGGGGTTTTGGGGTTTATTTGTTGGTTTGGGTTTTTTTTCTTTGAGGTTATATCTCATTAAGGTTTTGATTTGCATTTCCCTGATGATTAGTGATGTTGAACATCTTTTCATGTGTTTGTGGACCATCTGTATGTCTCTTTTTTAAAAAACTTCTCTGCCCATTTTTAATTAAAATCTTTGTTTTTTGATGTTAAATTGTATCAGTTCTTTACATATTTTGGATATTAACCTGTTATTGGATTTATGCTTTGCAAATATCTTCTCCCACTCAGTAGTAGGTTGCCTTTTTGTTTTGTTGATGGTTTCCTTTGCTCTGCAAAGGCTTTTTAGTTTGATATAGTCTCATTTGTTTATTTTTGCTTTTGTTTCCCTTTCCTGAAGAGAGTAGTCTAAAAAATATTGCTAAAATCAATGTCAAAGAGTTTACTGCCTATGTTTTCTTCTAGGAGTTTTATAGTTTCAGGTCTCACATTCAAGTCTTTAATCCATTGTGAATTTATTTTTGTATATGATGTAAGATAGTGCTCCAATTTCACTATTTCCAATATAGTTGTTCGGTTTTCCTAATACTGCTTATTAAAGAAACTGTCTTTTCACATTGTATATTCTTGCTTCCTTTGTCATAAATTAATTGACCATATATGCATAGGTTTATTTTTGGGCAGTGCACTCTATTTCATTGATGTATGTGTCTGTTTTCATGCTAGTACCATACTGTTTTGATTTCTGTGGCTTTGTAGTATGGTTTGAAATCAGGGAGCATGGTACCTCCATCTTGATTCTTCTTTCTCAAGATTGTTTTGGCTATTTGCAGCCTTTTATGGTTGCATATAAACTTCAGGATTTTTTTTCTAATTCTGTGAAAGAGACCTTTTGGTATTTTGATAGGGATTGCAGATTGCTTCAGGTAGTGTGAACATTTTAACTATATTAATTTTTCCAATCCATGAGCATAGTCTATTTGTGTTATCTGTAATTTCTTTCATCAAAGTCTTACAGTTTTCAGAGTATAGGTTCTTTTATCTCCTTGGTTCAATTTATTCCTAGGTATTTTTACATAATTGTAAATAAGGTTTTTTTCTTAAGTTCTTTTTCTGATAGTGTGTTATTAGTGTGTAGAAATGCAACTAATTCCTATGTGTTAATTTTGTATCCTGCAACTTTACTGATTTCATTTATTCTAATAATTTTTTGGTAGAATCTTTAGTGCTTCCTATGTATAGTATCATGTCATCTGCAAAATAGTGACAGTTGTATTTCTTTTTTTGCATTTTGGATGCCTTTTCTTTGCATAATACATATTTTGAGTTTTATGCAATTAGCAGTGGAAAATTCTTGATGCTTAATGGGCCTTACTCAGGAGAGAGGCCTTCATTTGGCACCTAGAATTGGCCAGGTTGAACTCATGGAGACCTTTTCTGTACACATGCCTTTTCCTTGTTGACAATGGTAATTGGCAGGGATTTCCATAGAACCACAAACTAATCTTATCTTTCAAAAAAAAAACACTCTGCTTAGCAGCAGGTCCTTCCAATTTATCACAGAATGGCTATACACTTGCACTGTAAGTTTAATTGACTGAATTAATATCAAAAATTATAGAGGATTTTGTACTTCAGTTAAAGGTCTATCAACATTTACTTATACCAGAAAATTTGAATGAAGACTTAATAATTTGATCAGCCTTTTTTGGAATCAGGAAAAGGAACATGTTATTAAAATTCTCATATCTAATAAGCCATCTCTCACTTACATATTTGAGGCTGAATATATAAATATCAGCACCAAAAGGACTTGACTTATTTTTACTTGGGAATATGATTTAGCACTCATGTACCTAATATGTTATCATATGAATACAAAGTTGAAGACAATTTTAATTGTAAAGATCTTTTGGGAAATGACAGAGGATAACAATAGTGGCTGTCATCTATTAAGCACCTACAATATTCCCAGTCCTTTACATTCATTATCCAATTCAATCTTCACCGCAGCCTTATGAAGTGGTACTACTGCCCCCATCATTTTAAAAATTAGGAAACTGTGGCTCAGACAGACTGACTTGCCTAAGGTCTCATGGCCAATCAATAAAAGGTAAACTAGCATTTCAGATTCCAAAGCCCAAGATCTTAAATATCATAGTAGTTGACAAAGAAAACCTCCCTATTTTGGAGGCTACTCACAATCAAAAGAATTTTTAACTAGTTTACCACATTCTCTGTTTAGTACCCCTTTTTTTACTTTTAACGCTGCTGTTATTTTGCCAAAGATCCACAACGAGTTGTGGTTCTGAAATAATGATGGGGTTCCCACCTTGGACCACTTAATGCTGTGGCTGAGGGTCTATTGCCCAAAGGAGGTCTATCCTTGCTCACCTTGAGAGATCTCTCTAGGAGAGTTACAGGTAAAGAGGAAAGAGAACCTGGATTTTCAGTCTTAGTGAATTTCCCTGCCGTTGAAGGTTAAAATGAGATCTTTAACACTACTTTAATATGCATTTGATGGTTACATTTCAGTTTACAGAGAAGCATGAAAAAGGAAAAGAAAATGCTTCTCCAGTGAGGGTTTTGTAGAACATCCTCAGCACACAGTTTCTGAATGGACCATATCAACTTTGTGGAGTTTTACAAGGCTGGTTAAAATTGCTGTGAAGACTCATATTTACGGGCCTTAAGAAAAGGATTCTTTATCTGTTATTTCTTAATACTGCAAATCAGCTAAATATAGATTCTCAGAATGTTCCTAAATAATGAGCACTTGGCTAAATAAAACAATGTGTAGCGCACGTAACCCTTAGATGTGCACAGTGGCACATTCCATGTCCATCCCACAAAGTGCAGAGTCGGAAAAGACTCGGTGCTACGAAAATCAGTTACCGAGGAGGCACAGTGGTTGCTTTCCAGATTTCAGAATCAGGATTATTTGAATTATTTTCATTTCAAAGTGTAGAAAAGACATTTTTTATAGACTGCTTTTCAGTTATATCGGGAAAACCTGATGCAAAAGAAAAACGTATTGCTGTTTGTTGCAACAAACCCTTGAAGGTAGTAGTGAGGTAAACAGGAGTAAAAGACCTTTTCCTGGTCACCCTGAATTCCAAGAATTTTCGAGACTTGCAAGAGAGCATGGGTGGGACATATGCTAATGGGAGACAGGTTTTCCTTTGTTCTCTGAAAAGCACTAACACCCAGAAGAGCCCCATATCATTCCATATGCAGGTGATACAACAAGGCGTGGCAAAGTCGTCTTTCTCATTCACAGCATAGGCTGTTAATTGTTCTCTCTGCTGCCTGTCAATATAATGTGAAATTTTCATTCCCCATTCAAGGTGGAAAAGTTGTGGCTGAAAATGTTAACATTTGCATTTTTATTTGTTGATTTATTTAAAGGACAGCCTCTCCCACAGCAATCCATCACTCGGTGACACCCCAAATATGAATAATGTATTGTAGACTTGCAGTTACCATGTGTAATAAGTGCTCGAGACAGTAAAGGAATGTTAACTATGTTGCAAATGTAATATTTATTGACTCATAAAGTTTATTTCTTTTGAGGTTCAATAATACTGACCATAGGACATTAATATCACTTATCTTGATTTTAGCTGGGCACCTTTGTATGTAGAAATACTCATCTGTCTCATGCTAACAAAATAAATAAGTAATTTATAACACAAGCAAGAAGGGCTTTATAGTTTTCTGTGCTGGGAACTATAATGCTTCTGTCTCTGCATTTCACTTCGGGCTTCCAGGATTAATCACACCCCTGAGCTGTCCGAGGGAGTGAGCACACTGGTCATCTTGGCACAAGAGGGTGGCACCAATGAACTAAACAGGGCCATGCATTTCTGCTTGGCTGGGACAGGCAACACCCTGTAATCACTCCACCAGGAGAGAGGGCTGGGGAGGACTTTTCCCCTTGTCCTTCTGAACACCTACCTAGAGGGCAGGTGCTCCTTCACGGAGACAGTTCAGTCCTTTTTCTGTCCTGATACTGAGTCAAGTGTAGTGATTGTA